TCAGTTCTCGGCTCGATAAGAAAGTGCAATGCAACTGCTGCAGCTATAGTAGCAGAGTAAGGATTGCATGTTTATTATTTTATTGTTACCGGTACCTTTACCTTTAATTACAGTTTAAATGAACCAGGGGTGGTCAAGTTAGAAAAAAACATCAAAATGTTGGTTCATTTTTTATTTTATTTAGGGTATATTTTTAATCACGGGTGGTGGGTCAATTTGATTCAAGAATAACACAAGGGTCAAAGCAAGTGTCTTCCTTGGCCTTGCACCAAAGTACATCTGTGACATGTTGGTTCCATCTGAAACAACACAGGGACTGGCCACCTACTGGTGCCTAGAGTCAGGACTAAACATGGGGAGGTAGCATTTCAGATTCATGCAGCTATAACCTGAAACAGTCTTCCTGAAATGTGCTATACAAATGAACTTAACTTCCCCTGCCTTTTTTAAAATTAAAGTTATTCATTCATACTTCCATTCAGTATTGACATTTTTGGATTTTAGATTTCAGCGGCTGCAAACTGATAGAACATCTATTATGTGTTGCTGCTATCCTCATGCTTTATCTCAGGTATGAGGTTTGTGTGTTGTATGCATTGCAAACACAACATGTCACACATCCGATAACAAGTTTGATAGTGTCTGTGCAGGTTCTGAGTGATAAGGCGAGAGATACTGTTTAGTTGTGGAATTCTTGAGGTATTGTTGAGTTTCCACACAGGGGATGGTGTGATCGAGCTTTTGTGTGATGTCGCCTGGAGCCTGTAGTAAACTCTGTGTGACTCAGTAAATGTGCCTGTAGCAGAGACTGGACTGCAGAGATGATGCAGTTCAGTCAGTAAAGGCACTTTTCAGTTTGGTCTAAGAAACACAGTATATGTATTACTAGTAGCAGTAGCCTAGTTTTGTTTAGTTTTTATGTAGCCAAAAGCACATTTATGATCAGTTGACATGGACCTATGGCTCTTTTCTGTTTATCATTGCATTTCCTGTGGTCAAACTGTTTGATTCTCTGATCTGTTGATGGAGAATTGACAACTTTGTAAAGTCCTCTGAGACGACTGCTGTTGTGATTTAGGGCACTGCAAAAATACATTGAATTGTATAGAACGTCTACGGCTGCCAGATTAATCTGAAAAAGATCAAAATCACAATGAGAAGTTCTCCACTTTTGAGGAAAACTGTTTCAATCAATGTAATCAACCAATCAATAATAAATATGAAATATTTGTATAGCACAATTTGTGTACGAGGAAATTCAAAGTGCTTAACATGAGCAATTTAAAAACACAGATCAAAAAGCATAAAAACAGAAAAGTTGGTTGAAAGGCTACCATATGCAAACTGCTGACAGTAAACAGTGTGTTGCTATGGTAACTAGCACTTTATTAAGATTAAGATAGCCTCTATTTTCCCACAGTGGGGAAAAGTCATGCTTTTCCAGAACTAATCCAGGACCAATCCAGAACCAGTCCAGAACCAGCACCTTAAGAAAAGAGGCTTTAATCAGAATCAGAATCAAAATCATTTTTATTACCACGTAAGTGACAGGAGGTCACAGACTTGGAAATTGCTTTGGCTCAGTGCAACAGTCAGAAAGAGAGTGCAACTGCCATAAAATACAAGATCATTCTTTATAATTTCATACAATTAATTACATAGAAATAAACTGCATAGAAAAACTGAAAAAGTTATGAAAATCATAAATGCAAAAAAAGCTTTATAATTACACTTAAAAAACTAAAAGTTGCCAAATTGACTGGTCTGGGAGTTATGTTAGTCCATAGAGGAGGATCATCAACTCAAAAATCCAATTATGACTTTGGTGTTGTATACTCTGTTACTGGCATCTTAAGTCCACGCTGAACTGTAGAAACACATTTTCTTTTATCTCTAACTTTGGTTGACGTCGAACATTTCACCCACGTCTGAGGAAATCTTGTCTAGTCATCCTGAGATCATTTGTGCTGTAAGAAATTTCTGGGCGAATGAGCGGACACAGCAGCAGAAAGCCTCTAGCCTCAGCTGTCGTCCGTGCACAAAAATGAAATGAAGAAAATCAACAAGTCTGGCCTGAATCATACTGTCTTTGACTTTCTCCAACAACAACAGAAAAGAACTGCAGGCGATGCTTCGGGAGAGTGAGGAGTTTGTAAAGATGTTATAAAGTGACAGCTGGAGCTAATGTGCTCAAGTCTGCAGTGGAAGCTTGTCTGTCACTATTCAGATCCTATGTATTTAACATTATCCCATATATCTGTGGTATAGACAACATGACAGAAACTGGGAACACTAGTTGCATAAAGCTGTTGCTGTATGCCAGACCTATTGTATATGTTTTTAGTGGTAGAGGAAAGGAGCACCCGGAGGAAACCAACGCAGAAATAGGGGGGGACATGCAAACTCCTCACAGAAAGGCCTGGAGGTGGAATCGAACCCCATAATGTTGTGTGTTGTTTAATTGTTCAGATGTGCTTGAAAGTTCACAAATCCAGCTAAATGTTCACTTTGAGGTTACTTGGAAATGTAAGGAGAATCATAGATAAAATGTGTTATGTATTGTTATTAATGTATATTGTATCATTGTATATTTATAGTCTCTAGCTATTTTTAATAATACTAGAATATTGAAAAAAAAATCTCCCCACACAGTCTCAATCTTTTCAGATTTACTTTCCTTGGTCTTATATATTAATCAGGACTGACTTCAGCAGAAAACGGCAAGATATATTTAATTGTTTTGGAGATTATGACACATACAGATATCACTCATTATTATTGTGTGAAGCCACTTATTGTCAAATAAACATGTTTCCTATTTTCAAAGTATAACGTCATTGAGTCAGTCTCGGGAGATCTCAAATGTGCAGTTCAGGCAAGAATATAAGGCTTATTGCTAAGAAGAATGGGCAGCTTTACCGTCAGAGGATAAAGAACCTGATACAAAAATACCTCAAGCTGTCATAGATTTTCACGGCGCAATGAAAGCTATTGAGAACAGGGGGATGGAAACTTCTAAGCAGGGTCAGAGGAGTAGTTTCTGTCATAAAAAAATAAATAAAAAACCTTCATAAAAACCTCACCGATGAAGGAGAAAATAGTTCTTATCATTTTTATTTGTGATCTCCAAAAAGTGGCCAAAATATGAGATTTCTGACAACTCTTGATGTTCAGAAATTGAGTTACATCTTGATTAAAATCTCCCTGAAAAAAGTCGTCAATCTTTGAAATCCAACAACGAACACTGAAGATGTTTAGTCATAGAAATGTTGGTATCCATCCAACTACACTCCAGCTGTCCCCAGAAGCCATGTTTGTAGTTCTGTAGTCTTGGCCTGGTGCCTACATTGGTTTTGGACGATGACTTTGGCTGCTGTCCTGTCGTTACATACATCGTGTTATGTCCCGGTGGGTTTGGTCAACAACGTCACCCATGGGTGCTTATCGCCTGCTGGTCATGGGGGCACAGCATTTGCATTTTTTAAATTTGCCTAGCAGGAATTCAGAATTCACATTGACGATTCCAACATTCCAATCATGCCAAGTTTTTCATCAAGCCAAAATCATGAAAAGTATGTCAGGATCATAGACTATATTTTGGGAATGAACTAAACGAGTGCTGTTGTCACCCATACCGTTTGTCTAATGCAGAAGAAGCTGATTTTAAATGAAGCTAGTTGGGGCCAATTTCCTTACAGTATATGGGCATTTGTTCTGATGGGGTTAGCTCTTTTTTAAAGCCCTAATTTTGTTAATTATAGGCTTTTATCAAATGGTTGTGATGCAGTTTAATGGTAACAGTTCCTAAAATCAAGCCAGATGCTTCAAAGAAGTATATTTCACTTCCAAGCACGCTTCAAGTAGATTTAGTGACTCAAACGGTGATTTCCAAAATGGTTGAGGAAACTATTGGAGGGTTAAAACCGGTTACTGAGCAAGAGCTAGAGTTTACTTTTCATTGTAAGTCAATAGAAGCCAAAGCGACTCGGAGCAAAACTTTAACCACGAGCACTTCCCTATTGCTGGGTTGCACCTGACGTCACGCAGCAGCACGGGAGTGCTCCAAGGGACAGGAAGTAAATCTCCCCATTAAGAACAATGTGAAAATGCACTCATTTTGAGTCAAAATTCTCTTTTTCTGTGGCGTGTGCAGTTGTGGCATCTGCTCATATCAAGTGGGGAACTTATGGAGTCTCTATTTTGCTAAAATTGATTTCACTAACAGGTTTTGATTGTTTTGGAAAATGCCTAATAAGGAACGGAAGAAATGCGTTAGCATTAGCATTAGCCTGTGTAGCATCTGCGGCCGCAGACACAGCTTGCAGTCCACAGTCTTTACTTAGCTGACTTTCATAGATACAATGCAGTATTTTTGTGTAGTATACGGTTGTAGTAACCGAGGGAACAGGGAGAAAGAACTGTTAAATACATGTTTTAATGCCAAAAGTTGTCTCAAACCAACATGTACATGTGTAACAAAGCTAATAGTAGGCTTTACAATCAGTCTTCTCACATATAATTTAGCCATTGTATTATAAGAGTCATTGTTCATCGTTATTTCCACGACTGGGACGGTGAGGACCAGTTTTTGGGACTCGGAGGACCAGGGTAATGTCTGAAGTTGTATCCAAGCTCCGTGCCCACAGGATGGCTGCGTTCGTTAAAGCCCCCTCTGTTAGCTTACTGCTGTTAGCTTAACGCCACGCAGCCCCCCCCCCGGAGCATAACAAATCACCGAAATGACAATAAAGGGTCATATTTCTCGCCTCAAATGTTGTTAAAGGTAACATTTTAACAAAACATGACGTCATGTTCTATATGATGTCATTAAAGTTCCAAAGTCCTTAGTCCCAGAGTGTCTGTGTTTAATCAACGTGTTTAATCCACACGTGCGAGTCCACGCATCTGCTCCACACGTCTGCTCCTCGCGTTTACTCAACGCCTTTGTTCAACGCGTTTACTCAACGCGTTTGCTCAATGCGTTTACTCCACGTTTTGAGATGATCCTGGTGCTGGTGCTGTGTATGCAGCAGGGGTTAGTAGCAGCGCGTCCTATTCCAATTACTACTCCTGTTCCTCCCGCTCCACCTGCTACTACTAATGAGGACCCTACACTCATCTGCAGGAACTTGGAAATGGACGTTGTATTTCTCGGCCGGGATTTATTGATAAGAACTTCTACCGCATGTGTCTAAGTGGTTCCAACTCCCCAGAGTGCAGCGTTTACAAACTGGCCTGGACGAACGACACACGTTTGGGGATCCGGATCCCAATGTTCGGCTGTGGGACCACGAGTTGAGACGGAGGGGTCGGTATACTTCCTAAACCGTCTGGTTTACGGAAGGGAGGCCATCTGGCTCGAGTGTGTGAACCCCACCATACATGTGGCTGTCATGGGACATGTGCCCAAACCTGAAGCAACCGACACAAACAAAGGGAACGGGACCAACCCTGGAGCGACCAACACAAGTAATGGGAACGGGACCGGGGCCGAGGAGGAGGACGGGAGCGGAAGCGAGGAGAAGCCCACCATCGCCGCCAACAATTTTGTGTTTACTTGTCCTCTTCCTCTTCCTCTTCTGCTTCTACGATGTCTGTCGAACAAGGAGGAGTGAGAAGAGGAGAAAGAAGAAGAAGAGAGAGGCAAAGAAGAAGAGAGATGCAAAGAAGAAGAGCGAGGCAAAGAAGAAGAGAGATGCAAAGAAGAAGAGGGGGACAAAGAAGAAGAGGGGGACAAAGAAGGAGAGGGGGGCAAAGAGGAGGCAAAGGATGAGGAGCCAAAGCAGCCGTCTGATGTAGTGGATATTGTGTAAGACACCACCCTCCCTCAGGATCTTGCTCCAACAGCAGTGGGTGCTGCGCGGGTGCCACGGGAAGACCTGTCCCCCCCTCCCTCCAGAGCTTGGTGAGCTACTGCCTGTAGCTAGTAGCTCACCAAGCTGAAACCTACTGATGATGTGTTATTATTGCAACAACACATCAGTAGGGTAAAACTAACCCTACTAATGCTTGAATACCACCAAGCTACTGGTGATATTCAAGCATTTCAGCTCGGTGAGCTACTACCTGTAGCTAGTAGCTCACCAAGCCGTGAGCTAATAGCCACAGGCAGCTGTGGCTATTAACTCACCACCACCGCGTACGGAATGAATGATTAGTGTGACGTGTTGCATGAAATATGAAGCTTTAGTTCAGGTTGAATGCAACAGTTTGAGGCAGCAGTAGCACTTTGGTGTCATGGCCGGCACTTTATAAATGCAACAGAATAGATAATAATGGCTTCAAAGTTAGTTTAGTTTATTTTTCTTGCCATTGAGAGGATCTGGCTCCAGAGGCTTGAGTTTGATCGGTTGCTGTTGACCCTGAGATGTAAGAGAAAACTGGAATAGACTTTAAACAGAAGTGGAAGTCGTCTTGAAAATGGTCTACAATAGTTACCCCCAACCCCACTGCATACAAAAAACAAAATAGAAAATATTATTAAACATTTTGATGTCTGTATATTCAACTTTTTTGAACACTTCAGATTAGCTCTCACTAATTAACAGCTAATTAAGTGCTAATTATTGTATCCTAACCAGTGGGGGCAGGTCCCAGCTCAAAAGTGGCCAAAATGACGTGCGCTGACATGCTTGCAATACCACCCCGGGCCGATGGGGTGGACCCAGAAGAAGAATTAGCCAATGCTAACATATAGCGTTGGCAGACCTCTCAAAAACGTCTTTACAGGATGGACCAAAAGTTGGCTCTTGGCCCAAAGCTCCGTTCCACATGTGTGTCAATGCTGAGGGGGGTGAATTTTTTTGGTCCACTCTAGTTTACTTGCTGTGAATTTTTTAAGTCTCTCGTTCAAATGAATGGAGCTGCGCCGGCTGACGCATGCGCAGATGCGTTTTTTCACAATTTTCTTGTGGGCGGGACCACTCGTGGCCATTTTGGATTGCTCCAGTAGAGCACATTTTTTGGCCTATTACTTAGAACGGCGGAGATGGGCGTGACTCTGTCCGTTAATATATACAGGCTGTATCCGAATGTCCACACTATACCCTATTCACTCACTCACTATATAGTTCGGGACTATATAGCGACTGAGTGAGTGAGTCAGTGCACTCATTCTGTTGGCGATTCGGACAGCTGCACACTATTTTTAGCGGCGGCCCACATCACACCCCTGTCACATGTCATTGGATCAATATAATTTTATATATAAATAAAAGTATATTAAAATATCAATATTTGTCTAATATACATGTATAAAATGTTTTTACAATTTATATTCATATTTATGAATTTTGGTTGACTTATTCGCTTAACGTCTTTCATATTTTCGCCACCTGACCAGCTCCTCTAACACTGGTGAAATGGCACCTCCACTGAATTTTGCGGTGTTTTTGTTAACAATTATAAAACTTCTCATAATGCGAATTAAAAACCGCCGAACAGAGAGAAGGCGAAGACAGGCGATGAGGCGGAGGAGGAGAATGGCTCTTCGTTCATTAACAAGGCGTTGTGTAAGTATTGTATTCGTCCTTTGTCTATATAGCATTAGCACCATCTACTGGGTAAATTATAGTACTTTTGGTGTACTTACTAATTAAAAATACTATTCTCAGTCAATGAGAAACACATTAGTCATATACATTTAGACATATTTCAACAAGAAAACACATTGTATAGACACACTCACTTAAAATGCAAGAACATTAAAATATTTTATTGGTTGAAAGAACACAAAACCATAGCAAGGGAAATGGATTAAGTACTCATTTTTTTCTAAATGAAAAATGAGTACTTAATCATTAAACAATAATAGAATTTGCTTGGCCATGGGGCACAGGGCTTCTGTGATTTTTTTGTGTGTTATTAGGTGCGAGTGATGTAGTGAGGGTTTCTACTTCAGTTGTCTCAGGGCAGCTCCAGCTCCCTGCAACACACAATACATTTGGCAAAATCAATGCCAGGGCACAAAAGAACATGACTTCAGCTATATACTCTTCATTTTTCATTACATTTCATTACATTTCATTAAATTTTTAAATCTCAAAATGAAAAATGAATACTTATTCCTGTGTCTGCACTCATAACTAAAAGTGCAGATACAGAATTAAAAAATGAATCTAGAAGCATCATATTAAGTTTAAGAGAATTTTTGTTTTGTTTTAGGGTGTACTGCCTGCCGACTGAACCACCATGTACCCCTACTCAGCATGTACTTAAATGGCCAGTCTGACCTTCGCCCCGATTTTCGTCTCACTCGAACCACCATCACCCGTCTGGTTAGCCACCTGAGGAGTGCTCATCACCAGGGCTGAAGCCAGGACATGGAGGTTTTGGTCTTCCTCTTTTGGTTGGCCAGTGGCACCGCGTACCGTGTTGTCGCCAGGGCATTTGACATGCCCCAGTCCACAGTCCACGATGTGATCCACAGGGTGGCCAACCAGATCCTTCAAATGCGTGGCCAAATAATTCATTTCCCTTCCCTGGAGGAACTTCCCCAAGTTGCAGCTGGGTTTCAGTTGCTGGCTGGATCAGCTGCTCTCAATAATGTTGTGGGGAGCATCGACGGCTGCCACATTAGAATAAAGCCCCTTCAAGAAAATGCACAGTGTTATTTTAACAGGAAATTGTTTTATTCTATTCAAATGCAGGCTGTGTGTAATCACCGTGGCTTATTTATTGATTTGTTTGTTGGCTACCCCGGATCTGTGCACGATTCTCGAGTGCTTAAAAACAGCCCCCTCTACGTCCACCGGCTCTATCCCCCAAATGGACACGTCCTCCTTGGGGATGGTGGCTAGCCTTGCCTCCGTCAGCCCATCACACTCCTCCCTCCATACAGAGAGCCTGTTTGAAGCCCAGTGGAAGCCCGCTTCAACCGGCACCATGCACGGGCACGATCTGTAATAGAGAGAGCGTTTGACATGATGAAGGCAAGATGGCGATCAATTTTTTTCAAGGCACTGGAAGTCCAACCCACCTTTGCAGTCCAGGTGACTGCCTGTTGCGCCATCCTGCACAACATCTGAATCAGCGATGGTGATCTCTAGAAGCCAGTGGAAGAGGAGCCAGGGCCTGATGATGAGCAGGACCAGCATCAGCAGCACCAGCCTGATCAGCAGTGTGGACAGGAGCTGCGTGGACGGATGGCAGCAGCACTTTCCACCCCAAGGGCCAGGCTACCAGCTCTTCGGGACCACGACTATTAATTAAATGTTTGAATAATCTGTGTTTTGGCCTATTTAAATAAAAACAAAAACAATTGAATATGTAAATATCTAAAAAGAAATTGTTGAATGTATGTATAGTTTTCTTTACAAATGTCTAGTTGATTAAATTTTTTTTGTGTAAATAGTGTTCATCATTGTATGTCGATATGCATAGAGTTCAAACTACACTTATCAAAATACATTTTTATCTACTATTTACAACTTCTCAACAATTTATCCATGAGGGAGTACCACTTCCAAGATATGGCGATGGGCTCCCCTCCTTCTGTCCCTGTCCCTGTGCGTGGCTGTCTGAGCTCCTTAAAACAGTGAGTTTTGTATAATAAATGCTTCACAAATTAGCTTCAAAGAAACAAACCTTGTAGGTCTTTTTCAGGTTCTCCCACTTCTTGGCCGCTCTGGCAGGGCTGATCAGGCGGCTCAGCCCCATTTCCTTTATTACTGCCCTAAAGTAACGATACATAAAAACATTTGAATATGAGTAGACGTTTTTTGAATAAGTATTTATTCATAATGGTCATACTCCCATCCAGCCGCAGAAGCAAATTTTTCACCCGCAGTCAGATGAGTCTCTCCACATCAGTGTCTGTCCCTTTAAAAAACATTAAACACACAATAAATGCTATACATATAACACAAGTGCTTTAATAACATTAATGACTGACCACCAGTGACCTGTTTCTGTAGCGTTCGCTTTAGATGTTAATGTTATGATATGCGAAAATGCTAACACTTTTGCGGCATAACATTGGTACGTTGTTTTGCAGTAAAAGGCAATGGTATTCAAATGTGTATTTTGGCAGCTTATCGTCAACAATATATCACGGTTTACACATTTACATATTTATGATGATTTAAAAACTCACATTTGTAGCCCATGTCCCGCTTCTCTTCCAACCCGTCTCTCTGTGCCTCCGCCATTTTACTTCCGTATAGTGACCACTGCTGCTCACTACATTTTTGAGATGCATTGTGGGAAAATTCCAGTGCACTACTTTTTCTCTCTGGACATTCGGACACCCCTACAAAAGGGCGTGACCACTATATAGTGCACTATATAGGGTATAGTGTGGACATTCGGATACAGCCACAGTCTATGATCCTAACCCTAACTCTAATGCAGCTTTTCCACAGTGTCAGTTTGGTTCGTTTTGGTACGGCGCGCTTATTTTGCATTTCCACTAGTAATAGTCCCGGAGTTTGCGTTACTTTTTCGTAACACCTGAAATACGGCGCTGTTCAATCAGCGCCGTACCGATACCATGACGTGACGTCGGCCCACTGCCTTACACCGATTGGTCAATGAGTGTTGTCACTAGAAGCGACATCTGACCAGTGGGGGAGGGTCCCAGCTCAAAAGTGGCCAAAATGACGTGCGCTGACATGCTTGCAATACCACTCCGGGCCGTTGGGGGTGGACCCAGAAGAAGAATTAGCCAATGCTAACATATAGCGTTAGCAGACCTCTCAAACACGTCTTTACAGGATGGACCAGTTGGCTCTTGGCCCAAAGCTCCGTTCCACATGTGTGTCAATGCTGAGGGGGGTGATTTTTTTTGGTCCACTCTAGTT